CTGTTTTTTACCTTTAGTTATGCTTTTTTATTAATATTTTTTATTTATATTACTTGTTATTTTTACTAGTAATCTTTAGTATTAATTAGTATTTTTTAATATTTTTAGCTAGTGGTCCCTAGTAATTTCCGCTGCTAGTTTATAGTGCTTTTTAATGCTTTTTATTACTTTTTTTATGGCTTTTTTTTAGTAATCCCTAGCAATCTTTTTATTACTTTTTAATAATTCCTAGTAATTCCTAGTAATCTCTAGTATTATTTAGTATTATTTATTACTTTTTAATAATCTCTAGTAATCCCTAGTAATCCCTAATACTTTTTAATATTATTTAGTAATTTTTAGCACTTTTTACTAGTAATCTTTACTAGTATTTTTTACCTGCGCTTACTAGTACTCCCTAATAATTACCAGCGCCCTTTAGCACTCCCTAATAACCCCTAGCGCTTTTTAGTAATCCTAGTATTTCTTAATAATTTTAGCACTTTTTAATATTTTTTAGTAATTTTAGTGCTCCCAGCGCTTTTTAATAATCCCTAATAAACCCTAGTACTCTTTAGCGCCCTTAAGTACTCTCCAGTAATACCTAATAATTATTAGCATGCTTTAGTAATTTATAATACTTTTTAATGCTTCCTAGCGCTCCCTGGTGCTCCCTAATAATACCTAGTATTATTTAGTGCTTTTTAGCACTTCCTAATAATACTAGCGCTTCCCAGTGCTTTCTAGTAATATATAACACTCCCTAGCGCTTTCTAGCGCCCCCTAGCACCCCCTAGCGCTTTCCATTAATAATCCCTAGTAATTTCCCTAGCGCTCCCCAGTGCTCCCTAGCACTCTTTTTAGCACTTTTTTTAGTGCTTTTTAAAGCCCTCCGGCGCCCTCTAGCGCTTTCTAATAATACCTAGTAATTACTAGCACGCTCTGGCAATCCCTAACGCTTCCTAGTGATACTATTACTATATGGCGCTCCCTAGTAATATATAATACTTTTTAGCGCTTTTTTTATTGCTCTTCCTATTGCTTTTTACTAGTAATCCTTAACAATCTCCACAGCGCTCTGCCAGCGCTTTTTAGCGCTCTCTGCCAGCGCTTTTTAGCGCTTTTTACCAGCGCTCTTTAGTAATTCCTAGTACCCTTTAGCGCTTTTTATTAATATATAGTAATCCCTATTACCCTTTAATATTTTTTAGCAATCCCTAGTAATCACCAGCGCCCTTTAGTATTCCCTAGCGCCCTTTAGCGCTCCCTAGCGCTTTCTAGTAATCCCTAGCACCCTCTAGCGCTTTTTACTAGTAATCCCTAGTAATATTCCTAGCACTTTTTAGTAATCCCTAGCGCCCTTCTACACTTTTTAGTAATACCTAGTAATCCACCAGTGACCCCTAATACTTTTTTTAATAATTTTTCTAGTAATCTCCTAGCGCGTTTTTATAAAATACCATGCTTTTTAGCACACTTTTTAATATTTTTTAGTGGTAATACCTAATAATCTTCCTAGTAAACTTTTACTAATATTTTTTAGCGCTAACCTTTAGCGCTTTTTTAAAATAATTTTTAGTAATCTTTTTAGTACTCTCCACTGGTGATCCCTAGCGCTTTTTATAATACTTTTTATATCCCTTTTTATATTACTTTTTATATTACTTTTTTTAACACTTTCTAGCAATCTCCAACGCTCTTTGCTGGTAATTATTAACACTTTTTTTAAAAATCTCCCTAGTAATCTCCCTATTACTTTTTAAAAGTAATTCTTAATAATATTTATAGCGCTATCTAGCGCTCCCTAGTAATATATAATACTTTCTAGTACTTTTTACTAGTAATCCCTAGTAATCTTCCTAGCGCTCTCTAACGCTTTATAATACTCTTTGCTAGCGCTTTTTACCAGCGCTCTTTACCAGCGCTTACTAGCGGTACCCAGCGCTCTCCAGCGCTCCCTAATAATACCCAGCGCTTTTTACTAGTACTATCTTTAGTAATCCCTAGTAATCCCTAGCAATTCCTAGTAATTTAGTATTTTTTAGCAATTTTTAAAGCCCTTTAGCGCTCCCTAGTAATCCCTAATGCTATCTAGCATTTTTTAGCACTTTTTAGTAATACCTAATGCTATCTAGCGCTCTTTACTAGCGTTATTTTTAGTAATTTTTAATACTTTTTAGTTCCCTTTAGCACTTACCAGCGCTCCCCTTATTACTTTTTATAGCGCTTTTTAATGCTTTTCCTAATAATTTTTTAGTAATCTTTTTAATACTCTTAATAGTACTTTTTGTTAGTAATTTATAACACTTTTTATAATACTTTTTATAGGTAATCCCTAGCTATTTTTCTAACACTTTTTTTAATGCTTTTTATAGGTACCTTAATTTTTAGCTATTTTTTTAACTATTTTCCTAGCGCTTTCCCTAGCGCTCTTTATTAATACTTTTTAATAATATTTAAAAAGTAATTTATAGCGCCTACTAGCACCCTCCAGTGCTTTTTACTAGCACTTTTTAATAATACCTAGCGCTTTATACTAGTGCTTTTTATTAAAGATCCCTAGTGATCCCTAGTAATTTCTAGTAATTTTTAGTAATTAATAACGCCCTTTAGCGCTTTTTAGCACTTTTTAATAACCCCTAATAATCCCTAGCAATTACTAGTACCATCTAGTAATTTTTAGTAATCCTTAGCGCTCCCTAGTAATCCCTAAAAATCTTTTTAGTAATCCCTAGCGCTTTTTAGTAATCCCTAGCGCTTTTAGCGCTTTTTAGTAACACTCTCCAGCGGCCTTTTATATTTTTTAGTAGTAATACTTAATAATCTTCCTAGTAATTTTTTAGTAATAATCTTTAGTATTAACCTCCAGCGCTTTTTAAAGGTTATCCCTAGTTATAATTTTTTTATTAATCTTTCTAGTAATTCCTATTAGTTCCCCCTGGTAATAATTTATAGTAATAATCCATAGTATTTTTTAATAACCTTTTTTTATTTTTTAAATATTTTTAAGCTTTTTAAACTACTAATATCTTGCTTTATACTTAATAACTATTATTAAATTATATACTAGGTAGGTTTTTATCGCGTGGTTATATTTTAAACCTAAAAGTATATATTAAACTTAATAAATATATATTAATAAAGTTAATATATATTAAAGGTATATTAAACCTAATAAATATATATTAGTTTACTTAACATATATTTAGTGTATATTAAGCACTTTAAATACATATTTTTTATGCTTAATATATATTTTTTATATATTACTTTTAAAATATATTATAAATATTAAACATATTCCAGGTAATTTATTTTTTACATATAAACTTATATTAATAAAATATATATATTTTTTTTTTTTATATATTTCTTTTTTAATATGCTATTAGTATTATAATTTATTAAAATATTATAATATAGCTATATTTTTTAATAATTTACCATTACAACTATGCTATTGCTATACTCAATACCCCCCCTGCGGACTGACGGGGGGTAGTTATAGCGGAGGAGTTTCTCCAAGTCACATGCCCCCGCCCACGCCAAGGCACAAGAGGGAAACAGTGTGGTCAAAAGCAGGAATTTTTATACCTAAGGTTGTTGGAAGCCTTTTAAATTAGAGATAAAATATCTCTATGGTAAGAAATTAGTTACTCTAGTACGGTAGCCATTGTCCTGCATTTGCCCAGCGACTAGAGCATCATCTGCATTATATTAAGCTTGGCACCAGTATTGCTGTGAGAGGATAAATCTGACTATTTGGTTCGGGCCCGTGAAATATGTTATCGGGCAATATAGGGCTCTTATATTGCCTGGCACAGGCTGGAGACAATCCATTGACAACCACACCTAAGTGACAAACACCCCGCCCAAGCTTGGAAGTCGATAACGCTCCATCAAGAAGGAGGGTGGACGTGCTGTTAAAGACTGAAGAGCGGAGAGAGCAGCCTTTTGTTTCAAATTATTCAATAGAAAGCAAGATTATCGTTTATGGTGGTGTCGGGGGCGAATGGGGCCAGAGTTTTAGGGCTTCTCGTTCACTTACCCTACATTCTTGGATATTAAAGATCTGGTGATTATGGACACCCTAGAACAAAGCCTATTTTAGTAACAATATGGGCCGCGGGCATAAACAGTACTTCACTCTGTCTGCGTTTGCCTAGCTTGCTACCAAGTAGTTAATCAAGAGGGCCTGGACCAAGTTACCTCCCCTACTCCCATTTTCACTCATCCTTTGCTACTGTAATCCACAATATAGGTCTAGACTTTCTCTAAGAACACACCTACAATATCACTAAGCATACAGGTTCGAATAAAACCTGCCCGGCGAGTCCGAGAGCACCTCATATCCCTTTGAGAAAACACTTTCGAAGTTCCTGTACTAGGTAGCGATCGTGATTAACCGACTGGACTTGAACTCGATATCCTCGCTGGGCCATTGTAGGACGGAGATTTTTCGAGCTTCAAGACCCCTATACCACTACCATACTACGCGCAAAATGGGATGTTCTAGCCCAATAGGAGCTAATGCCAGAGTATTTCCATCCACAGAATGTCCCCCTTTCCAGTCCCTGAGCTTGTTAGTTTCGCGAACAACCACCCGGCGTCGAAGGGTTCATTCGTGAGGCACCTGATAGATCAGCGCAATACGCGAAACGCGCGGAAATGCTTTTTGCTCCAATGAGTGTCGAGGCACATACACGGGTTCATCTCGCTCGGCCCCTTGACCGGGTCCTCCCGTGCTGAATCGGGAAGACGGCGCGACGCTCCAGGGCTAGTCGCCACGCTATTCGAGGGGAAACATGGGGTGCATTTTCTTGGCCTGGGGAAATTTCTTCAGGCAATTTGATTACTGCAGGTGACTGTCTGTGTATACAGCAGTGGGTATTGGTACTTAGGGTTCGTCTATAAAAGCCAGGTCGTCATCCACAAACTGACGATTACCATCAAGCACAACGCACTGCCTGACACTCTCTTGTTGGCAATTCCATTGTCTTACTCATTGTCTAACAGCCAATATGAAGCTCGCTGCTTTCTTTCTCCTGGCCGCTACGGCCATTGCCACTCCCACCCCTGCGGACCTGGCCCACGAGTTGACCCGCCGCCAGGCCTCAGAAGCCTGCCCGATCGGATACTGCACCCAGAACGGGGGCACGACCGGTGGTGCAGCTGGTAGCACCGTGACGGTCAACAACCTCGCGGATCTCACTGAGGCGGCCGAGAGCGAGGAGCCGCTGACCATCATCGTGTCCGGGTCCATCTCCGGCAGCGCGAAGATCCGCGTTGCTGCGGACAAGACCATCTACGGAGCTTCGGGGAGCTGTATGCCCACCTTTACCTTAAAACTATGGCTTAGTAGAGGTGATTTACTAACAATATTGTCAGCCATCACCGGCATCGGCTTCTACATCCGCCGCACCAGCAACGTCATCATGCGCAACCTGAAGATCAGCAAGGTCGACGCCGACAACGGCGATGCCATTGGCATCGACGCCTCCACCAACGTCTGGGTCGACCACTGCGATCTCTCCGGAGACCTCAGCGGAGGCAAGGATGACCTGGACGGTCTCCTTGACATCTCCCACGGCGCAGAGTGGGTTACCGTGTCAAACACCTACTTCCACGACCACGTACGCCACCCCTACCCTCTTTCCTCCTTGGTAACTAACAGTTATGCAGTGGAAAGGCTCCCTGATCGGACACTCCGACAACAACGAAGACGAAGACCTCGGCGCCCTGCACGTCACCTACGCCAACAACTACTGGTACAACGTGTTCAGCCGGACGCCCCTGATCCGCTTCGCGACCGTGCACATCATCAACAACTACTGGGACAGCCTGATCGACACGGGCGTGAACTGCCGCATGGACGCGCAGGTGCTGATCCAGTCTTCGGCGTTCTACAACTGTCCCGACAGGGCGATCTTCTTTGCCGACTCGGATTACACTGGGTATGCGGTTGTTCAGGATGTTGATCTTGGTGGAAGCTCGAACTCGGTTCCGACTGGGACGCTGACGCCATCTTCGCTGCCGTATGCGGCGATTCCGGCGTTGGGCTCTGGGAATGTGGGTAGTATTATCCCGGGGACTGCTGGGCAGAAGTTGTAAGCGGCTTCATAAGGACACTTGGCGGTGTTGGATAGTCGGATTATAGGCCGGATATGCCAGTGTATAGGGAACGGTCTGATTGAAGGTCTCTATATTATGGATAAGCATATATATCAAGGGACTTCCCTCGTAACAGTAGGTAGACCATGACCAGCATGGACCAATCTTAACAAATCATACCTAAGGTCAGCCCCAAATTAGCAATCCCACCACAATCAGAATTCCCAGCCAACTTTGTCCCGGCTGGGGAGTCCCTCCCACCCCGTTGCCCACCTGCAAAGCCCTATCCGTCGCATTCCCAACCCCAACCCACGCATTCCAATTCGTCTGGTTTAGTGGACAGTTCTCCTGGAGCTCTATGCTCTTCCCTCTCATCTCCCTGAAAATATCTCCATTCCTTGACAGCATCACCACAACCTCTCCCTCGCGGTCCCCCATATCAACGGAGCCATGGTACACCCCTCTGCCGCTCTCGGGGGTATTTGTCCACCCAGCAGCTCCACTCTCCCCTCCAATGACCACGCTAACATTCGCGCCCTCCTCCAAAAGCGCAGAATAGAACACCTTGTCTTCCAACACCTCACCCGGACCAAGAATCATCTGGTCACTTTCCTCCGTATTCCCCGTCGTCCCCCCATCCTCACAAGCCTTCGCCGGACTAAGTCTGTACCAAACACTCAGCAGCTCCTCTTCAATCTCTACCTTCTTCCTCTCCCCCTCGCTTCCGGCCTTATACTGCTCAATAAGGTAAGGCAGTAGCGCCCTCCACCCATCATGCGGCATACCAGCAACATAATCAAACGGCGCCCCCGCATCCATCAACATCCCCATGCCAATCTCACCATGCAACGGACCAACATAGTGACTCTGCCCATAGTCATTCCACGATATAATTCCCACAAAGTCCGGGGCTGGATCGAGGGTGAGAACCTGCTGCCACCGCACATACCACAGGTCATCGCCCCGCGATACCACGTTCTTGCCAAACGCCGGCAGATTCGCGTACAGCCACGGAGACACGGGCATGATGTACAGCTTGTCTTTGCCAGACGAGTCAAGGACAGCGCGGTATGCCTCGTCATCGGAGGTACTCATGTCATTCGTCCCGCCCGGCCAGGCATCCCAGCTCATCAGGCCGTCAATGCTGCGGATTTTGGATGCTGACACGGGGTCAACGGACGTCCAGGCTGGTATGAAGACGATGTCTTCATCGACGTCTTCCTTAATCCCCACCCAGTCGGCGGTTGCCTCGAAGCCCTCGAATGTGCTTACCAGCGGCCTTGAAGATCCTTTATACGGGGTCCGGAAGTACGCTTCATGGACGATATACTCGTTCAGTAACCTGGTGATCTCGCTCTGCGGCCAGCGGCCGTAGCCGTTGTTGCCGTAGGTTGTATTGGTGTAGTCGAAGGAGAAGAAGAGCTTGAAGTCTAGCGATTCGGCTGCGGCGAAGGCGTCGGATAGGGAGTCGGTTGTATGTTGCAGTCCGAATCCGGTGTTCAGGGCGAAGGCGTCGATGTGTGCGGCTTTTGCGGCGCGGATGTCGGATGTCCAGGTTTGCGGGGTGTAGTTTGCTGTGTTGGACATCTAGTCTGGTGAGTGCATAGACAGGTTGTAAAGGGTTGAGGGGAGAGGACACAAACCATGAACTGAGCAAAGACGGCCTTTGTGGTGGTACATTGTGGGAAGAGCGTGAGGATGAGTGCTGTAATGGTGGTGATGGAGTTGAGATTTGGGCTAATGTACGGACTGGGTCCGCGGGCCATCACAAAGGTTGTATGAACAATAATAAGAGTATGCCGATAGATTGATGGGTTCTTTCTGACGGACTGGCTGGTCTGACTTCAATAGACAGAGTGAGTGATTACCTAGGTAGGATTTGTACAGATTTCGGAAAGGGGAGCAGGCTTTGACTTTGTAGATATACCCCAGCAATGGCAGTCGAATTCTAATCTAATGTCCCCTCTAATTCAATACCTTCTCATTACCCAGGTATGCACATCTCTCAGAAAAGCAAAGGCATCTGCGGGTGCGGTAACCCTAAGTCTTGGCATTCGGCCATGACTCCGCCAGCAGAAGATAACTTGAGGCGGTTGGTTCGGAATCATATTGCAATGATTATCTCGCATTGAGCTATCTGGAGAATCTACTTATCTCTTTCCACGGCTGCGCAGAGGAAACATGTTACCCTACGGATTCAATATTTTGGCACGGGGTGCCTGCAGGTGAGTCAGTGTACCTATACTTTTTGGGGTACCGGCATCACAAGACACATTAGAGAACTGTGCATCCCCCATCTTCTCACTGCCTACTTCCGTAGATACCTAGTGCACCTAGACTCTTAAGAACAGAGTTTATAAGTTGCGGCCGAACGTACAGCTCTTAAAATCACTGTGTGTTAAATAATATAAGGTCCTTGGCCTTAGGGATTTGCAAATAGTGTGATAGGGTGTAATACACTTAAAAAAAAGGTTTATAAATAAAAATTTTTAAAAAAAAATAAAAATATTAAAATTAATACTAAGGTTTAAATCTTTAGCCTTGCAAAGGCTAAATATTTTTAATATATATTAAGTTAATACTTAAGGCTAACTTAGCTATTTATAAGTAAAGTTATTTATAAATATTTTTAAGTTTTATAAAAAAAATTATATATAATATAATAAACCTTATAATTACCCCCCCCTTTTATAGCCTTAGTTTTTTAAGGCCTTGTAAATAAATAAAAATATATAATTTATAAAATACCCTTAAAAAATCCCTGCTGGTATATAAAAAACCTTTATAAAAAAATTTTACTATATATAATAAAAAAAATATATTTTATTTATACCTTTTTTTTATATGGTTAAACTTTACTAACACCCTTTTTAAATATATTAGGTTTTATTTTATAAAGCCTTTTTTTAATAATATTAAAATCTTATATAAAATATAAGCATGCTTATAAGTATTACTAATTTTTTATAAGTATATTTATTTAAAGTTTATAATTATTTTAATATCCTAAGCCTATATAAAAGTATTACTTATATTTTATTTTTTTTAACTAAACTTTACCTTATTTATTTTCTTGTAATTCTTATAAAAAAATAATATTTATAGTATTTTTATTTTTTTGCGGGTTATAGTTACCTTTAATATTTTTAAAATATTATTATTTTATATATTTTTTTAAATAAGCTTAATACTAAAGCTTTTATTTAATCCCTTTTTTTATAACTTTTTTTATAAATAAACTACTTACTTTTTATAAATATACCTTTTTATTAGCCCTTTTTATTTTTTTTATTAAGTAAATATATTTTACAAGCCTTTTTTTTACTAGCTTATTAGTTAAAATAGCTTGTAAAAATTTTTAATACCTTAAGTAATATAATATATACTTATATACTTTAAATTTCCTGCCTTTACTTACTTTTTACTAGGTACTTTATATATTTTATATATTTTTTTATACTAGTATTTACTTGCTTAGTTTTTATATCTTATAAAAAAGATTTATAAACTCCCAAGCTTTAAAAAACATATTTTATAAGCTTTAAATTTTTATAAAAATAAAGCCTTGTTTTTGCCTTTTTACAAGCTTTTATTTTTACTTATTTATAAGCTCTTAACTTTACCTGCCCATAAGCCTTAATTACCTACTTATAAGCTTTTAACTTTACCTTATAAGATCCTAACTTTATTTTTATAAATTTTATTTTACAAGCATAGCTAACTTATATATAGTTAAATTTTAAAATTAAAGTCTTATTTTTTTATAAAAAAATATATTATAAAATAACTTTTATTATTATTTTTACTTTTAATTTATTTAATATCCTGCCTCTTGCTACTAACCGCAGTCTTAATATTTAGTTTAGGCTTAGCTAAGTTAAGTAAGTTTTTTTTAATACCTAGCTACCTTTTTTTACTAGCTTTTTTCCCACTTAAATAATATATATTTATAATATTAAAATATATTTTTATAAGATTATTATGTTGCTATAGTAACTAGTAAGTATTTTTATTTTTATACTTATAAGTTTTTTATTTATTAATATATATAAAGTTTTTTTTACTTCTTGCTTATATATATTCTTATTTATAAAATTTTTATTTATAAAATTTTTATTTATAATATTACTACTAACTTATTTATAGCTACTAGGTAACCTTTTTATTATTATATTTTTACTTGCTAAAGGGCTACTTGCTAGGGCAGTATAAAATACCTTACCTTTAAATAAGGTAAGTATTAAAAATTAGGTAAAAGCTTAATTTATAATACTTTTTAAAAATATATTAATTAATTTAATTTTTTTTTTATAATTACTAGCTTATTAATCCTACCTAAATTACTATTTTATAATAGTATTAAGCTATTATTTAATTATAAATTATATTAAATTTTTGTGCTAGTATAAAGGCATATATAATAATATAATTTTACTAGTATAGCCTAAATTATTACATGTATATAAACTTATAAGGCTATTTTTATAATATATACTAGGTAAAAACCTCCGCGGGGCTATAAGTATATAAAATATATTAATATTTTTATAAAAAAATTATTTAATTATCCCGCTTTTATAAAATATATTTTAGGGAAATTAATTAAAAATATAATAACTATTTATATTACTTGTGTTTTTACTTTATTATATAAAACTTAAATTAATATTAAATAATTATTAGCTTAAAAATTATAAATAGTTACTTAGTATTACCTTTAAAGCTTTTTAATTTTTAAAATATTTAGTTTTACTTTTTATACGCAAAAAAGCACACATGTTTAATTAGTAATTTATAAAGAATATTAATAGGTTATGGGGGTTGGTGGTTATAGTTAGTTTATAAATAATAATATTATTAATTATTAATTAGTTTTTTTTTTAGGTTCTGCGAAAGTTATTTTTTTATTTTTTATTTTTAAAAACTAGGTTTTATTTTTTTTATTATATATTTATTATATATTTATAAGTGCCTTAACCCGCGGACTAGTTTCTTTATTACCTTATTATACCTTAATTATTTTATATAAAGCTATTTAGGGTTTTTTATCCCTAGCCCTAATATTATTTTTATATAATACTTAGCTTAATCCTTATTTATAAACCTTGCTTTATATTACTTATAAGTATTTTTTTTTTTATTTTTTTATATTTACGGAGTATAAATATATAAAAAATATTATATATATAAAAATTTAGTAATAAAGCCATGTAATAAATATTTTATTTTATTTATTTAATTATTTTATATAAACTAGCTTATAGCTAGTTTAACTTTTAATTTAGCTTTATTTATAACTATTAGTGTTACTAACCTAAATATAGTTACTTTTTATAAAAGTTTTTTTACCTTTTTTTTTATTAAAGTAATATGCCTGTGTTGCTTGGGTATTTTTAATACTTTTTATATAATATTTTAAATTTTTTATAAATATTTTACCTAATTTAATATTTTATAAAATACCTTATTTTTTAGTTTTAAGTTAAGTATTATAACTCTGGGATTTATCCTATATATTATATAAAATAATATATTATAAATAAATATTTATTATAAATTATTATAAGTAAACTTTGCAAGAAGTAAATAATTAACTTAATTATTTTATAAAAAATTAATATATTTTTATAAAAACTGCTTTAAAATACTATTTAAGTATTTTATTTAACTATTTATTTATAGGTGGTATATAATACTTATTAAGTACTTAATTAAAATATTATATATAAAATTTAATTAAAACCCCTTTATAAATATACTTTTATAATTTATTATAATATTCGCGGGAACCTTATATAAATAAATTATTTTATAAATTACTAGGTAAGCTAGTTTATAACCCTTAATTAACTTTTTAGTTAAAATAAAATAAGCTATTTTACTTATTTTATTTATAATTATTAATATAGTATTATACACCTCCCGCAAGCTATTTAAGTTTTTAGTTTTAATATTTATAAGTAAATTTATAATAAAGTTTATGCTAATTTATTTTTAAGGCTTTATAAATATTAATAAAGGTTAAAATAGGCCTTGTTACTTATTATATAACACTTATAATTTTTTAATAAATTTTATATACCTTATAATATTTTTTTATAAAATTTTATATTTTTAGCTAAAAAAACCTTTATTAAACTAGTTTTAATATTTTTCTTTTATAAAGTGCCCTGCGAACGGGTTATTATATAATTTTATTAAAATTTTTATTTATAACTAGTAATAATTAAAGATATATAACTATAAAAGGTTATATAAAAATTATTATTTATATATTATTATTTTTATAGCTATAAAGTACTTTTTATATATTAAAATCCTTTAGTTTAGATTTATACTTGCAAATAGCACTTATAACTTTTTTTATAAAAGGGTCCTGCTTTAGGAGCACTAGTAAGCTTTTTATAATTTTTTATAAAAAATTTATATAAAATAATTTTTTTTATAAAGCCTTTTTATTTTTTTTATAAAATACCTTTATTTTAAATAAAGTATTATAATTTATAATTTTAATAGTTATTAGCCACGCGTGGCTTAACTATTTATTACTTACTTTAACCTAGTAACTTTTATTTATTTATTTATTTTTAATAGTAGTAATAATAAATTCTTTACTTATAGTTTTAGGTAATAAATTCTTAACTTTATTATTATTACTTAGGCCTTTTTATATAGTATAT